ATTATAATAGGCTATAGCGTTGTTTAATTCCCTGATACAATCGCGTGATGTTTACCTGCACAAATAAAGTATTTGAAAAGGCATTGGAACAACATTGTTTTGTGCAAGGATTGCTCACTTCGGTATTATTTAGAAACATTTTATATTTCAGATACAAGGATTTGGGGACAGAGCAAACCTGTTTCTTATTGATGGAAATATAAAAGAGTTGAAATTATTGAAAAATGTGCAGGGAAAATGATATATATGGCGATCAATTAAATACATAATAGTAACAAGACAATTTGGGGACCATGGTGTCTCTAAGCCATCAACAATACTTACTTGTTCAAAAATATAGACATTATAATGTGCCTTTTTTGAAGGCAATAATAAACAAGGGTTAGCACTAAATAAGAAATGTACAGTTCTAATTTGTTTATAACCAAAGGTTCTCTTCAACCAGAAGCTTGATATCCACACATAATCATGATTTAGCTTTACATTTGAGCTAAACCTATATCCAGTGGGGGGATTCAGGCGGTTCGCACCACTTCGGCAGAACCGGTAGCTAATTTTTTGTTGCCCAGGCCCAGAATGGACTTCTGGAAGTGGCATCTACATAAAGAACCGGTTGTTTCACATATTTGAATCCCAGCACTGCCTATAGGTGTATGTTGACTTCTGGCTAAATCACTTTCTACAGTTGTCACAGTTCCCCCATTAGTTTCTATTTCTGACTTAAAATGAATTTATGAAACATTGCTTATGCAGCTTTTTCTATTATTCCACTATTGCATGATAGATAGATAGATAATTAGATAGATAAATAAGACATAGATAAATTAGATAGATAAGATAGAGACAAAGATAAATGATAGAGATGATAGAGATAGATGATAGATAAAATAGATATAGATAGATTAGACTAGATAGATAAGAGATTAGATAGATAGATAGATAGATAGATAGATAGATAGATAGATAGATAGATAGATAGATAGATAGATAGATAGATAGATAGATAGATAGATTGATTAGGTAGGTAGGTAGGTAGGTAGGTAGGCAGGCAGGCAGGCAGGCAGGCAGGCAGGCAGAGATAGATAGATAGATAGATAGATAGATAGATAGATAGATAGATAGATAGATAGATAGGATAATAGATAGATAAGATAGATAAGATAGACAGACAGACAAATATAAATGATAGAGATGATAGAGATGGATGATAGATAGATGATAGATAAGATAGAAAAAATAGATAGATTAACTAGATAGACAGAGATTAGATAGAGATAGATAGTCAGAGATAAATGATAGAGATAAGATAGATAGATAGATAGATAGATAGATAGATAGATAGATAGATAGATAGATAGATAGATAGATAGATAGATAGAGACTTACCTCTTGAACCAGATGCCAAGTGAGGCCATGATTAGTGGAGTACTCCAGTTTCACCTGATTGTCCATGTGGGGGGTGTATTGCTGGCCACAGCCCATCACCAAGTTGAACTGAATCATGTATGATGCTCCAATTTGCATAGACTGCGTCTCCACATAGCGCATACTAGAAGCTAACTTGGAATCTCCTGTAAAACTGAAAAGAGTAGGAAAGAAGTAACTATTCATTTTTGGAGTAGCTTCACAAATGCCTGGCACAACATAGGAGAACAATATATACAGTACTTAAATATATAATATATACTTTTAAAAAAAAAAAAGGAAAAAAGCCATCAGGTTAGCCCAAACATCACACTAATCTTCAAATCTCTCTGTTAACCATCTGTTAATTTGTGTTTAACACGTAGAAAGTCCACCAACGGCTTCCAGTCTCTTTACAGAGTTGTCGAATTTTAATACATCTTTAACACAGCTGATGAAACATATGCTTGGGACGAATCTGAAGGGCTTCAGAAGGTAGGGAAAGAGCGATCAAATGCTCTTCCAGAAATAATGAAACCGAGAAGAGGTTTGGGCTATT